ATTCATGAAACGTTTCACGGATGACGAATACTTTCTAACGGTGTATCGAGGACAGCATTTGAAAGCTGATGAATTACAAGAGCTAAAAGACAATATTGGCCGGTTGATTTCAATGAACACTTTCATATCAACAACATGTGAGAAAGGCGTAGCTTCACTCCATGCTGGTGACGGTTGGTTGAGTCCCATTCTTGAATCTATTCTGTTTGAAACACAGATTGATACGAGTATTGACACAAAACCTTACGCTAATATAAAAGAATTAAGTATTATGAACGACGAAGATGAAGTGCTTTTTGCCATAGGCACCATATTTCGAATAAAATCTGTCGAAAAAGCAACTGGGAGTGGAATCTGGAGCGTCAAATTGTTGCTGAACAGTGGAAGCGATGAACAGTTGAAAGTTCTGAGTGATCAGATAAGAGAAGAAACTCATGGCTCATCTGATTTAAACACGTTGGGATATCTATTAAGAGAAATGGGCGAATACCCCAAAGCTGAACGGTATTTCAGAAGATTGATAAATGATACGTTGCCTAATGACCCTGTTATGGGCACATTTTACAGCAACATTGGACTGGTTTACAATGATCAAGGCGAATATTCTCAGGCATTGAAGTATTATGAGCAAGACTTTGGGACCGAACCATCGAAGCGTTGCAACAAGGTAGAGCAACATTGGTGCAGTGTACAATGATCAAGGCGAACATTCTCAGGCATACTAAAAACTGAATCCACGACAGTTGCTCCGCGGACAATTGGTCCCCTGCGACAGTTGCTTCCCTGATCGTTGCTTCCGCGACATTTGCTACCCAACGGCACTTGCTTTCTAACCACATTTGCTCCTCAACAGTGTTGCTCTGTTTTTTTATTTATATGATGGTCCTCTTATCGATCTATGCGTCCTGTTTTTTTCTTGTTCTGTAGCACTTAGTATTGCTTTCTTCTTCTGTACGAGACTGTGTTATTTGTCGTTGGGAAGCCGGCATTGAAGAGTCCGAACAAGGAGATTTATAAATCTCGCAGTGATTTATTTAAATTTTTTAACAAAGGACTATTATTAAAAAATTTTTGTCCATTCTACATTCATCATAAAGACTTGGTTCTTGCCCAAATCGATACAGAAATGTGTAGGGAATATTTTCTACCAGAAAATATGCAAAAATTTTTGTTCTCTCCTTCCTGTTATTGACTAATTAGTACTAATTAACCTTAATTTAGCCTACTTTGAAATTGTCTCTTTTTGGTGTTAAAATTAAATTTTACAGTTTTTAAAGTTTTAAAATTTCGTATTTTTCATTATAAAAACCAAAAAACAAAATTTCTGCGTCGAACTTCATTCGGGAACAATGAGAAATATTTCCCCTTATACAAGTTAATGTTCTGTATCGAACTACGCTAGAATCGACTTTTCATATCTAAAAATGAACTTTTTATTGAAATTTTAAAAATAAGGCAAAAAATCCAAAAAAATCTTAAAAATTTTTTTATCAAAAACTATAAATCCAGGAAGCGAAAGCTTTGTTGGGACATATACTTCGAGGTGTCTTCCACAAACTGGTGGAAAAAAACAGGTGGCGGGGGGATGCCCCCATTAACTATTAACTTTTTCAAAACCATTTCGGACTCTTCAATGGGAGCAGGTATTGTTGGGGAGCAAGAGTCGTTCGGGAACAAGTGTCGCGGGAGCCATTATCAGTGAAGCAACTGACAGGGGAGCAAGTGTCCGGGGAGCAACTGTCGTGTTACCCTAAAAACTAGGCATACTGTTCGCTTCTAACCTATTTCTCTATCTTTCTTTCATTTAGACTAGTCCAGACGTGGTCAGTATATAGCTTGGCAGAGTAGTCAGCGACACTACTACGGACAGTTTTCTTTTACTTAGCGGTTAAAATTTTGGACTAGTATCCATACCAAAATACAAGACAGTCAGCCACTTTTTGAATAACTTTTGATAGGAATGAGATAGAGACCTGCGATTTTCGCTGTTCAATAGCCAAGACTTGAGCAGAACGTTTCACAAGCGGAAGCAACTTTTGAAAAAATTCCAGAGACTGGGTTTCCAGAGGATCTTTGAAAAAATCGGCTTCGTTCTCAGAAAACTAAAATACAATGTTAGTAACTTTTTTGCATGCGTA